GGAAGCCAGTGAGCGAGAACTATGGGTGGCTGCCAAGAGGAGAATAAGGAGGGTCTGCTGAGGGCCTTGCCAGCCCAACCACTAGCATCAAGAGCCACTTAGAGCTCTCCGAAACAAGAGCCCTGCAGGAATGGAGGCCAAGCAGAGCCCCAGGATATCCTGGCCAAAAGACCAACCAGAACAAACAAACAAATCCGCTGCTTTTTAATGAACACCTTGTCCACTGTCAACCAGGTTGGTAATTATAAAAAGACAAATGGCTAGAATATGTCCCAGACTAAGATTAAATAGCCTGACCTGTGGATTTTAAACTATTTATGATAAACAGACAAACTAATTTAGCTCTTTTCTTGTACTCAAAGAAAACTTGAGTGCTTCCACAAATATCTCTAAGGCTAACACACTGCAGTACACAGCATGTATAGACAGCAAACATGTCTCCTCTGATGGAGGAGTCTAAACTTTGACACATCTACAAGCCAACAAGTAATATAGCGTTATCAGTTTACCTCATTACTGTTCAGCCAAATGAATACAGTTCATGGTCATTATATAAGGTGGAGGTCCGGTTGATAAATGAGGCTCTGACACTTTTATTCCCAAAGAGCTGAATACAAGTTCCCGCTCATCTCTTTCTTTCTCTGTATCTCTCTCAGTCTGTGTGGGCAGCTCTCTTCAGTGCAAATCAATACCTCTTCACTTCCCATACACACACTCACTCACTCCCCACAGGTAAGACATCCTTGTCTTCTAGGCCTTTGGAGGCGGTGCAGACGAGACTCTGTGCCTACTGCAGGAATGACCGGGATCGAGACCTGTCGACCAGAAATAATCATAAAATAAAATCAGTAAAACAAGATGGATGTAAAAGCATGAGTGATATGATGGATTTATGATAATGTATGTTTTTGCATGTTTTATCATTCAATGTTGGAAAAAGAAACTATGTGTGTATTAAACTGAATGCGAATAGTATGGATACACACACACACACACACACACACACACACACACACAGATAACTGGGGATGATTCATACAGAGGAAGATAAAGAATCAAGGACAGATGGAGAGCGAGAGAGTAGATCTGTTCTCCTGTTCTAGAACTATGTCACTTTGCTGTTGGGTAACAAAATGCAATTGTCAAGACAAATAAATGGGACAAAATAGACTCCATTGTGATCTATAAATAACCAACGAGTCAGGTCAAGTCCATGGATTTGCCTAATGGATCAAGAATATTGTACTATATGAATCACAGCCACTTACCTGCTGAGTTTATCAAGGCTGGAGTCTTCATCACCGCTAATACATTGACATCTTGTGGTATATTACAGTAATGCAACTTAATTCATTCCCTGAAGCCTGAAGGAAGCAAATTATTGAAAACAACAAATATCACACACACACACACATATACATTTTTGTGTACATATTTGTGGAAAGTGCCAGAAGCTTCTATTTTTAACATTAAACTATTTGTATTTAATGTTATTGTATATGCAGAGTTATTTAAACTTCTAAAACGTGAAAAAGTTTGATACTGTATTTCTCTGGCTGGCCTCAAAGTACAGCACTGCCCAAACATCTGAGTTCTGATGATAATCACACCACAAAATGGAAAATATTGCATGAATTCGTCTTCGTATATACTCATGCATAACATTGCATCCTTCCACTGCCTCACGATTAGCTTCATCTACCACAATGGCTACACAGCACAGCAGAAAATATTGAAATAAAGATGAGATCCTCAAAGATGAGCTTTAATTTGGGAAAAGTTGACATTCTGCCTCACTGTTTTGCTACTTATTAAAAAAATATGATTTGTTTAAAAAAATGCTTCTTTTTTAATGTTTTTCCTCCCTTTGTGAATACACCGTGATGGCGGTATGTTTCCTACATCTCCATTGCTCTCAGAGAAGAGGTCAGGATGACTCCAGGCAATGAAGTGGCTGAAAAAAATGAGTTCCAGTCCATAGGACAAATTATGCCTGTTTTTTTTTGTAAGCCAAAGAACAAAGAATCAAAAGCTTCTGCTCCCCTTTGCAATATTTACTGGGAAACTTTGTCAGATGAACATAGTGCACAAATCAGTTCAAAGCTGGCTGAAGACTGAGCAAGACAGTTTGTTGACAGAGGTTATTAATAAGATTAAGAGACTCTCCTCGGATCAAAAATGTGGAACCATAATTTATTTTAAAATATTACCCATAAATTACTCTTATAAAAAAGATCACATAAAATCCATAGATAAATAAAGCGTTCATCTTTTGAATAAAGGTAAAATCTATATGTATTGTAAACTTACTAAACTTGTTATAAAGAGAGTGTTTTGATGCTTGGACTGTTTGGATGTTTAACTCAACAGAGGCAGATTTCTTCAGTTTTGGAGGCAAAAATCAGTGTGGATAAGAAACAGCTCCTTAAGCAAATGAAGTTTACAGCCACAGTCTGGGGTGAAGAGATTTCTATTAGAATGGGAAATCTGACAGGACCAGTCAAGGCTTCTCTGGTCTTTGAACCTGATAAGTATGCTCAACAGTGTGCTAGTAAAGCATAAAAATATCTCCAATAAGACCCTCAATAATATCACAATGACTTGTGGGCAGGTTATACTAAAATAAATCTACCTATATTTATATCTTTATTAATCACTGCTATTGTCAGGCGTCACTGCTGCACAGACCATTGAAGACAGGCTTCTCCTCCTTACCCCAGTCTATTACTTCATCCCATTTGTTCCACAACATCCAGTAGTAGAGACAGAGGACTGTAAATTATGCATTGCTATATAGCCGCACAAATTTACAGCTGCACAACTCAGACTTATCATGAAGAAATATGAATGATCTGAGCAGAGCAGCGATTGTGCTCAATTTATATTGTTCTATGGCAGGGATCCTCAAATCTGGCCCACGAAATCCACTTTCCTGCAGAGTTTAGCTCTAACCCTAATCAAACACACCTCAGCAAGCTAATCAGTGTCTTCAGGATCATTAGAAAATCACAGGTAGGTGAGTTTGATCAGGGTTGGAGCTAAACTCTGCAGCGCATTGGCCCTCCAGGGCAAGATTTGAGGAACCCTGTTCTATGAAATCCAGACCACCAGCAGCCTTGGCTTATTATTTTACAGTCCACTGTCAAATCATTACTGCAAGAAAACTTCCATTTACTTGTTTCAGCTTATAAATAACATCCATGGAAGCTTTTTGTCTGAATGTCATGTACTTTAATTAGTAGCAGCCAAATATTGTGGCAGAATATTAGTCTATATAACAAGACAATATTATGAAAATACAAAAAAAATGTAAATTTTTAGATATTGTCAAATTATGTTACAAAACATGTACAAGTATTAGTTGTCTAATATTAGCCATAGCAACACAAAGGAGTTTTATTTTAAACATTTACATTTTATTCCAAATTTAACATTTAATTTTAATAAACACAACACATTCGGAAATGTGATGGAAATTACTGTGGAACTACCTTTTTGAGTTAACATGAACTGATGTGTGAAGCAGTGATTTAGGTTTTTAGGTAATTCAGGACATAAAATGGCAATGATCTGCTATGTGACAGAGAAATTTTCATTTTGCCACTGGATACACACACACAATGAATGAGAATATGGTTTGTAATAAGTTTATTAAGAAACAAATCAAACATAACACTTCAGTCCTCCTTGCTTAAAATTAAAAACAGAAAAAGAGCTAAAACCAAAGACCATATAAAAGCATCCCCACTTCTTTAGGGGGGCAAAGGGGAAAAGGAAAGCAATATCAATACAGAAATACACATTTCATCATAGCGGAACCTGATAATGAAATAAAGGTATACCTGCATCAATAACTTAAAACAATTAAGAAAATAAACATTTTATTTATTCATTCATTAAAAAAAGAGCCATCCACTACCTGGTGTGTATTTTGCCTTAATGCCAGCATTAAGTGAAAAGGGATGAGAGAGAAACTAACAGAGGGCCAGCAAAGGTTCTTTCTTTGATACACAGCATAAGACACACCTAGAAGCAGAGAGTTGATCTGCAACACTAATTAAAGCAGGACTGTTTTGTGGACTCTGGTTTGGTCAAGTTCTTTGTCTCTGGCATCTTCAAAATAAACCCAGACCTCAATAACCTCCTGGTGCCAGGTCTCTGACCATAGTGTGGTATAAAAGACCACTCCAACTATATAAAGCTTTAACGTTCTACAAAACCAACATTAGCTTTTCCTCAACACTCAGACAACATGAACTTGCTCTCTATAAATAAGCTCTCATTTGTGTATTTGGTTTAAGCTAGAGGTAGGCTGTACCTTCTGACTTTAGCATCCCACCCAAAAAATAATTCTTGGCCCTTAAATTCTTACCATTGGCTTTGGTAAATAAAAAAGAACATGAAACGAAATGATGCAATTACGTTAAATGTTGATTATGTTCAAAATCAAATGTCATTGGAGGGCAGTTTGTGATTCCATTTATGGTGTATAGTTAAGTTGTTGTTCTTTTACAAGCTTTAAAATGATAGAGTAACTTGGTTTCTAACCTGTCTTTCCTTCCCTACTTTCCTTTCACTTTATCAGTGATTTTTCCTTAACAACTAACATCCAGTCCAACTGCACTGACTGTCCCAAAACACTGAATCATCTTAAACAGATCCCAGGACCTTTGACCAAAGAGGCACACTAATGCCCTCTATTTGACCTGATGGAGAATAATGTTTTATCCCAGTTTTATGATTATACTTGCATATATAATAAGAGAGTCTGATATTAAATGTTCAGGAAATTTAGATCTGTCTGGAAGTGGCAGATATATGATTTACAAATACTACTGTCATTTAATATTGGTAGTTATTCTTTATGTCTCCTTTCTGAGTGTTAAAAAACCTTTTATAGGAGTCATATCTGGTATATATTGTAAATTGCATAAATTCACCTGGTTTGAAAAATGTATTCATTTCAAGAATTCCAGAGTAAAATAAAATATGTAGGAAAACTGTGAAAATCCTGCTTAAAACAAACTAAATGGGTAAAACGTTGACATTAATGAAAGAAAAAGCAGATGTAGGGTGAAAAACCGAATCTCTGCCTCATTTTGTGTAGAGCACGCTCAGAGTAACATTGACCTCAATATTCACTTCCTGCTGCTCAGTTCACGTTCAAAGCATGCTTCAACTGACTGTAACAGGAAGAGAGTGGAAGACAGAGCACATAGAGAAGGATGGTAAAAGAAAAGACCTCCTCATTCACAACATCAGCAGCCTCTTTCTAGATTTTTCTTTTTTTAGACATCAAAAATAAAAAGTTCTACTCTACTGCACAAATCTACCTAACGACGTTTACTAGTTTCTCCTACAAAGCACAAGGACAGACAGGTTTATATACAGTATAGAGGAAATTAAAATACAAAAAGTAAACATCCCGACATTCACACACAATACGAATAAAATAATAAAAAAATGCCATTTCATTACAATAGGATAAAATAAGATGCCTTGCATAGGGGGGAACAAGAGCAAACATAGGTAGGAAAACCATGCATACCGAAAGGCGATATGGGGGACTTAAACTGAACGTATCACATAGTGCAAAAATCCCAAGAAGAAACAAGGGACTAAATCAAATGCAAATGAATCTCTGACTCACATCAATACCAGCCCAGCCCAACCCACCCAGCCCCTTCACCAAACATCCCATCCAAAAATCCCCACCGGTGTGGACTTTGGTCTGTCCTGTGATAAACAAGGCATCAGGAGATGAGATTGCTGTGGTGTTGGAGGTCTTATGACCCTATCCCTGCCCACTTTGGTGAATGCCGCTAGCGCATCTTGTGATCATCAGTGTTGCCCATGTTGGAGCCAGGGCTTGGGTCCTGCTGTCGCCTGGGCTGGGTCATCACACACACACACAGTCACACATGCAAAAACATGCACAAACACCCACGCAACCCAACAAACAAACCGAGACAGAGACAGAATACAGTTAAAATGGCTGTGCTGTGCTTGAGTCACTCACATGTTCGTTCTCAAACTACAAACAATACCAGTAATAGGTTGCAGCCCACATGCAACTGCTCTTTATCTCCAGCAGGGGACGGCAGAGATCAACTTCAGTCTAAATGCTAAAAATTGAGCTGCTTTTTTTGGTTGAAGTGGCAGACATTAGTCATTAGTCAGGGGGAAGTCTTCAAATCACTAGCCTTAAAAATAAAGATATGACTGATGGCCTTGTCACAGATACATATGTTTATGTGCCTATGTCTAAATCTCTCCCTGACATAGATGTCTGAGCACAGACATGGCAGACGGACAGACAGACAGACAGGCAGATGGTGAGAGAAAGATAGACGAAGAGGCAGACATAGTGTATCTCACATAGTGTGAGGTCATCATCTGTGGAACCGGCGATTATAGCACGATCTAACCCTAGAGCTACGCAAGGCTGTTTTTACTCGACCCAACGCCTGGGAATCCCATCTTTAAGCGTATGCATTAACAGATGAAGCTGTTATAGCTTTCATGCACACAGCAACAAAGCAGTCTAGTGCATAAACTTACTGTCAACAATAAGCTTTAGCTAGCTCTAGATGATTTCGATGAACTGCAGAATTAAACGTATTTGTCTAGTAATGCGTTGCTTGTTATTTATACACTACAATTCAAAGGTTTGAGATCAGTAAGACATTTTTTTCCAGCAGGGACAAAATAAATAGCTTGTTTATGATGAATCACTTGTTGTATTCCTCATTTGTAAGTCACTTTGGATAAAAGCATCTGATAAATGAATAAATGTAAATGCAAGTGTGACAGTAAAGACATTTATAATGTTACAAAAAATATATATATTTTAAATAAATGCTGTTCTTTTGAACTTTGTACTCAAAGAATACAAAAAAAATGTATCACGGTTTACACAAAATTATTAAACAGCACAACTGTTGTCAGCATTGATAAAAATGTTACTTAAGCACCAAATCAGCTTATTAGAATGATTTCTGAAGGATCGCGTGACACTGAAGACTGGAGTAATGGCTGCTGAAAATTCAGCTTTGCCATCACAGGAATTAATTACAATTTAAAATATTTTAAGATAGACAACAGTTATTCTAATTTGTAATAATATTTGACAATATTACTGTTTTTACTGAATCAAATAAATGCAGCCTTGGTAAACATCTTTACTTACTTTAGAAAAGTAGCATATATATTTTTATTTTACTGGTATATACTTTTATTCTAATTATTTCTGAAATGTTGTTATTTATGTATTTTTATATTTTAAAACAAACATGTGAAAAGTCACAATAATGTTGATCAGATATCACCCTGCTGAAGAAAAAAAAAAGGTTAAACTAACACAATCTGGTTTGCTGGTCTTAGCTGATTTCAGCTGGTCTCTTAAGTTGCTCGGTGGCCAGATGGTCTACCACCATAACCAGTTGAAAAACACCCCAAACCCCTGTAAAAAAAACAGCCAACAGACCAGGCTGACCAGGTAAGCCCAACAAACCAGCTAGGTTTACATTTTGATTCATTTATTTTTTCAGTAGGGCAATAAATAATAAAAATGCTGCACAAAGACGAGCACAACTCAAACTGCAGAAGATGTTATATATATCTATAGAGCTTTATAAAGCTCAAAAATGTTTGCTCTGTAGTATTTAAGCTTTGAAAAAGTGTGTTTGTGTGGATGAGAGGACGCAGCATCGATCATACGGAGCCCAGCTGAAGCACTCTCCTGTACAAGTCAATAGTGCTTAGATTTTGCTGGGCAGACACCACTGCTAATGAAAAAGATCAATACTAATGACATATTAATACTTTCACTGGCCCAACATAACTCATGCTCTAATCCCACCTGCAGTAAGGCCTGGGTTTCATGAAAAATGGCCAATCTATTTTTCATCCATCTCTTTACCATCTATCACGCAGAAGGCCATTACACTCTTCGATATCTTTCAGCATTGATTTGCCCCGTTGGACTCCCTGCATAGACAAACAGTGACGGAACCGCATTAAGACACACCGAGAGAGGACAAATAAGTGTTTACGCATAGCAAATGTTCCTTTTTGTCTCTCAGTAAGGTCATAAGTGATTTTTAAGTCTCTAAATGCATTGTACGTCCTTTCGAAACAAACCTGGCCCACTTTCCCAGAAAACTCTGGCTTTCTGCTGATCCAGACTACTATTGTGCTGGTTTTTATCCAATTACAGATGACAGAGTTTAAGATTTGACCACAGCTATGTGACCATTGTACAGCATGAAGGTTCAAGGTACGATCCGAGCTCAAGTATTATTCGCTTTCCAAAATAAAGCCGACCGTACAGTGCAACTCGAAAACAAGCTCTGAACGAGGGTCAGACTCCACACTGCTGGGATGAGAAAGCATTAATTATAGAATAATTACAGGGTTTCATTTTTCCACCGCTCACAGTGACTTTGAGCTTTGAGGGAAAAACACTTGGCCCGTGAGTCACAGATCGCCTGACTGCAATGAGTAAGAAATTTGATTTTCATAAGCAGCCAGATCTATTTAAAAAAGAGACCTTGGCATGATTGATTTTGGAAGAGAGGATGAAGAGTGTGTAAAGCAACGCCTGAGGGTGTAGATTAGGAGGGAGGAATATAAAGGCTGCGGTTCATAAGTGGAATCTTTCTGGTCATGTGCTGCCAAGCTGTGCCTGAGAGCTCCCAGAGGGCTTTGCAGCAGGGGAGTGGGTGGGCGGGGCAGTGAGGAATCTTGGGATAGAAGTCTGGTCTCCATTACAGAGGTCTGCGAAGAGCGAGCTGGGGGTCTCTCGTGCCAGTAGAACGTTTTTTTTTTGTGCTTACAATATTAGACCCGTAGCTCAAAGTTGCTTATAGAAGCCTGAAATCTCACTCGTTTAAAAAAAACACACACCTACAGTATATGTACTCACTAACACATATAGACACACACACAGAGTAGAATATATAAAGACACAGAGATGCTCTTTCATGCACATGCTCTTGTGAAACAAACACACACATACACACTTACAGACAGACACGGTTTAGTGCATGACACAAGGATAGAGAGAAGCAGAGGAGACAGACCCTGGTCCTTGAAGGCCATCAGTCCCAGATTTTTGATGCCACAGGGTCCTAAAAAACACAATTTGGTTTTCATCTTAAGAGTGCAGTTTGGATTGACTGTAGAATGATTATATTTGAGGACTTACAATGCAAAGACACTTCATGCACTAAGCCATGAGTAAACAAGTAAAGCACTTCAATAGCTTACACGTACACAAACTCACATAGAGTACATATATGCATGCATACATACAAAATACTAAGAAACACACATGCCCTTCTTCATTATGTTTTTGTTCTGAATAATTTATAGTAAATAGAAAATTAAGGCAGCAGTTCACTAACACTCTTAAAAATAAAGGTGCTTCACGATGCCATAGAAGAACCTTTTTGTCTAAATGGTTCCATAAAGAAACTTTAACATCTGAAGAACCTTTCTGTTTCACAAAAGGTTCTTTGTGGCGAAAGAAGGTTCTTCAGATTACAAAAAGGTAAGAAAGAGATGGTTCTTTAAAGAACCTTTGACTGAATGGTTCTTTGGGGAACCAAAAATGGTTCTTCTATGGCATCGCTTGAAGAACCTTTTGAAGCACCTTTATTTTTAAGAGTGTACATAAAATCCTAAATTGTTGTCTTACCTCCTGAGTTATTAAATGACCGAGCTGTGCCATCGGCATCTGCTAAATGACAAGTGATCAAATCAGTATTGCCCCAGACAAGCTGTTTAGCTACGTCAAGAGCTCTCAAGACATCAGGGAACAGACACAAATGTTGAGGTAGCACTTATTTTCCTGCTCCTGCAGTGCAATTTTGAAAGGAGACAAAATTCACAACTACTGTTTTCATTTAAAAATGTCAAAGTAAAAGACTTTCAGAGATAGTAATTTTCATGTTGAAATGCTGTTTAGTAATTTCTTGCATGACTTTCAGAATTGATGGAACCCTTTAGGTTTAACTGATTTTAAAGTTCAAAAACAAAATCAAGGATGCTAACAAAAGAAAGAAAGAAATAATTACATTATTTTCATGATAAATAAGCAAGTGATAGTTAAAAATATATTATTCTCATTTCTGTAATATATATATATATAATTAATATTTTAATTAATATAAAATATTTAGATATCACTTATACTCTAATTTTTGTTTTAAAAAAACTGCATTACAACTATTTCTTAAAATATTAATCATCTTTGAGAATAATAAGAATGACAAAAAAAAAGTCTAATGAAAAAAAAAAGTCTAATGTCCAGATGCATTACTATAGTGACATATTTTGGGGAAAATGTGCTTAATTGCCATGAATAAATAATGTGACAATGCAGAAATGTCTTAATAATAGGCTTCATTTCCTTTATCCAAAATATTATGTTTTTATTTTGGGGTGAGATATGATCTAGACATGATTTTGTGAGATTCACCCTACCACTTTAGCTTGACCCATAAGAAAAGATGCCGGTGGCACCACTTAATCATCTGCCTGCTCAGGAGCTACAAAAAAAAAAAAATATTTTCAGTGAACTGTTCCTTAAAGCATCAAGTATTTTGGAAGTGGCTGTCAATCAAAATATTAGCAAGAGGAATTAGGTAAAGATTATGCAAAAAAAGCACATACAGAAGTATTGAACATGCACAAGTGGAAAACACATGTACATATATGCACACACATAATATACAAACACAAACACACACACACACAGACCTGAGTTCCATTATGACTAAAACATAATAACATATTGGATTTTCAGCATGCATTAACTGATCGAAACTTCACACACTCATACACACATCCTCACTCACTCCAGCTCTCACCTCCATGTCCTCACGGTGCGAGCGATCCCTGTCCTCAAAATCACGAGTCCTTCTGCGGGTTTCCTCAAAGGCTGCCTGGGCTAGAGCATCCTCTTGCTTTATAAACACACAAAACCACAGGAAAACAGGCAGTGGCCAGTCATTTCTGACGTACACAAGGCATGAAACAGTTTGACAGCACAAGGTGGTTTGTCTGTACCTGTGCCCTCTCATCATCATATTCCAGACAACCCATCCCATCCAAACGCTGAAGATCAATCGAGCCTCTCCAGATCACACACACTCCATTCAGGATCATAGGAGCCTTCAGATAAACCTGCACACACACACACACACACACATAGTTATTATGGTTATTATGATGTATGCACAGCACAATAGCAATGGATATTACAAAATATATTATATTTTTATTTATAAATAAATAAAAGATGACAAAGAACCTGAAGACTTTTGTTGCATTTTCAGAGTAGATTTAGGCCCAACTAAATGACGGATTAATGATATCCTGCACAATTGTTTAGTCCATATCAATTAATTATAAAATACATAAAAAATGCAACTCATATTTAAGCAAACATTTCTTGAAATTCTTGATTCTTGAAAACAAAACCTTATAAAGTAGTTTTATTATACTACTTATACTTACTACTTTATAAAAGTAGTATTTATAATTTTTTACACACAAAAAAAAAACTGTAGTTTTTAGACTATTTTGTTATATATATATATATATATATATATATAAGAACATGCAAAAGAAACAGAAACATGGAGGAAGATAAACAGGAAAAGACATCATAACTGTCAATCAATAAATGTCTTAAAAAATCAGGTCACTTGAATTTTTTTGATAAGTAAAAAAAAGATATTTGATAGATTAATAGCTTAAAATATTTGTAAACATAAATAAATAATACTTTTATTTAATAATAAATGTACAATAAATGTATCATACTTATAATAAATAAAAAATACATTTAAAAACTTAATAATTATCAATAGGTGTACACTGCACATGTTCACGATTTGTTTTTTTGTAATTGTATAGAAGTTTTTTTTTAAACCATACAAAACTGTGAATACAAAGACTACATTTATAAGAATTTGGCAGATGCATTTTACACTTTTAAAATATTTTCTTTCATTTTCTTAATCTTACACGCTTTTAGTGGTCATTGATTTGTCTAAAGACTACTCCAATAAATCCACCTACACAGACACAACAAACATTTAGAACAGGTGAAATGCCATAACCACCTACTCCATAGTTGTAGCCGCATTTGAAAACCCCCTCTCAATGTCACACCCGGCTGTACAATGGTTCATTTGAATTGTAAAACACTTTGTGAGTTGTTCAGTGGAAGTTACTGCTGGGAATGGCCTCAAAACTGTGTATATATATATATACACACACACACACACACATGTAACCATTACAACCTTTTCTGTTTCTTCCTGTCCTACCTCATTCTCAGCCCAGCCAAAGAGTATAGGGCAGCCTTCAATGTTTGCTTCCTGTGATGAGAGTGTTTATTTATAGAGGCCAGTGTAGTAGAGTGTAAGGGTACACCAATGCAGAGACAGGCAAAGCCTGTCTGAATTTATTTATACTGAGCATGGCCAACGAGTGCATACAGCAGCACGGGCGAGCACATGATTGCATCCGTGTGTGAGACTCAGA